AAAAAAAAAAAAAAAAAGTGTGTCACTTCTTCACAGCTTCCATCCAAGTAGTTCTGATCACAATTCGATTAGGGTTTTTCATGGAACTTGACAGGTTGATTCTAAAACATTCACAAGAGACCTAAGAGTCAAAAATAGCTAAGATACTTCTGAGGAATACAAATGAGGACAAGAAGTTTACCCTGTAATTAGCAAAATTTATTACAAAACTATATAATTAAGCTAGAAAGCTATATAATTACGATAGTGTTATATTGCCTTAGGAATAGACAAGTTGAGCAATGGAATATAAGAGTCCAGAAACAGACACACACACACACACACAAATTTGTATTACGTATGTATCTAGAATGAGACTCCTCCTACCCCATTTCTCTGTCACAACATACACTGCTTATTTCCTTTGCAGCACCTTTCACAATCTATAATGTGTGTATGTTTATTATCTGCCTCCTCTAGCTGCAACTGGGATGGACACTTCATAGGGTGGAGTGTGTCTGTCATGTGAACCGCTGTGTCCCCAGGGCCAACTTTGCTAAATGCCAGCACAAAGTGGCATTCAATAAATAATAAATGAATGAATGAGAAAGTCAAGAGAAATATATATCTGGAAGATTTTCTGATGGTTGTGAGTCCTTCCTATTCTACATATTCTAATTATTTTTCCTTGGATCAAATGACAAGAGGGCCATGCACTTGAAATAATGTTTTGGTGTCTGAATTGCCTTTCTGAACTGTGCTTTGGTGCTATCTTACCAACTTTCTTTTACTATTGATCACAACTATAGACATAGAAGAACCACCTTCTGTTTTCCACTATATCACACACCTCTCATAAAGGAGACCCACAGGAAGTTATTCTCTTAGGATAAAAGTGTTTTAAATAATGGATTTGTTTTTATTTTATGATCACTGAATTTTAAAACTGAGCATATTTATTTCCCCTCATTGGGCTAGGAAACTCAGAATTCCAAATGCTGTCTAAAACTACCGGAGATTAATTTCTGTGAAGTGTTTTTTTCCCTGAATTTTAATTTCTTATCCACCCTAACTCTTTGCCCTGAGAACCTCAATTATTTATTTTATAAGAAGATTTTCTCCCTTTTTTACACAAATCTCCTCAAATATTCAATGTAATCACTACAAGGTCTACCTTCTATAAAGCACTAGAACATGAACACAATTCACCCAAGTTCTTCACTACTTTATAACAAGGATCAATTTTTCTGCAGTTTCCAATAACACATTCCTCATTTTTGTCTGGGGCCATATCAGAATGGCCTTTACTGTCCATATTTTTACCAATATTCTGTTCATGATTCCTTATATGTTCTCTAAGGAGATGTACGGTTCTCTCCAAATCTCCTCTTGTCTTTCTTAGCCCTCAGCAGAATTACCTTTAAAACTCCCTCCATGGCAATATCAGCTTCTTCTAGCGTGCACTTCAGAACTCTTCCCACCTCCACCCAGTACCCAGCACCAAAGCCACTTCCACACTTTTAGGTGTTTGTTACAGCAACACCCCACATCTTAGGATGCTATAACAAATCACCGTAGACCGAAGGGCTTGAAAACAAACGATTGTTTCTCTCAGTTCTGGAGGCTGGGAAGTCCAAGATCAAGGTGCCAACAGATCTGGTGTCTCTTCCTGGTTTATAGATGGGCATTCTCTGTATCCTCACATAGAACCTCACATATCCTCACAGAGAGCAAGAGTATGCTGTCATGTCTTTTCTTATAAGGTACTGATCCCATTCATGAGGTCTGAACCCTCAGGACCTAATCATTTCCTAAATACCCCATCTCCCAATACACTGGGGGTTAGGATTTCAACATATGAATTTGTCAGGGAGCAGAAGAGACACAAATATTCAGTCTATAATGTGCATGCTAGGCAGTTTATATATATTCCCCATCTAATCCTCACAGCAAGCCCTGAGATTGGTATGTGGTTTCTACAGACAGGGAGACTTAGGGTAGTAAGTTTGAGCCACTGGTTCCAGGTCACACAGCTGTTAATAGTGATTGGACAGCTGAGAAGAAAACTCTGCTCTGGCTCCAAGGTCCCTGCTTCGCCTGCTGTCCAGGTTGTCTAAAAGGGCAGTCTGCAGACTCCCTGCACCAGAATGTTCCAGGATGCTTGTTAAGATGTAGGTTCTGGACCAAGCACAGTGGCTCACACTTGTAATCCTAGTACTTTGAGAGGCCGAGGTAAGAGGAGCGCTTGAGGCTAGGAGTTCAAGACCAGCCTGGGCAACATAGTGAGACCCTGTCTCTACAAAAAAATAAAAACGTATAGGGCATGGTGTACGGCTGAGGCAGAGGATTGGTTAAGCCCAGAAGTCTGAGGTTGCTGTGATCACACCATTGCACTCTAGCCTGGGTAATAGGGCAAAATGCTCTTTCAAAATAGAAAATTGGGAAGCTGAGGCAGGAGGGTTGCTTGAGGTCAGGAGTTCAAGACCAGCCTGAGCAAGAGCAAGACTCTGTCTCTACTTATTGGTAGCCACATAAGTTTCAAGAATAACATGGCACATAGAACAATGGTTTGATTCCATTTGGAAAGTGCGTTTAACATTTTGGGTTGCCATATCAGTTTATAAATTTGGTGCTCTGCTAATTATATTCTAGAAGCAGGTTAGTGGAGCTCTTGAGCTCTGCCTTGATAGGTAGTGAAAGATAATTCTGTAGAAGAATGCCAGCCAGTAGGATAAAGTCATTGTACTCTTCCTAATTTTTATATTGAAGTGTTGGGTGTTTGGGAGCTAGAAGGCTTTATGCTGACAGGTCAGAAATACGATTGACTTGTGTGTTATATTTTTGTCCCTGTCCTGATTCTAGGTGTGTTTCCAAGTTTATATTATTGCAGTACTTAAAAATACATGTTCACATTGAGAAATTAACCCCAAAGGGTTTTTAGATAGGAGGGAGTAGACCTCCAGCAAGTACCATTGTAACTAAAGTCTGTCTAGTCATTGTGAATATTTATCTGTCAATTTTGACAGATTGGGGCCAGCTTTATGTTTTAAATCTTCAGCCCAATATGAAAACTTAAAAGCTTATTCAATTTTTTTTTACCATTTTATTAAAAATATTTAAAATCTGTTTTTACAGGTTTTTTTTTTTTTTTAGTAATCTGTGCCATGAAATTTGAAAACTACCAAAAATCAAGGGATTCAATTCCTTTTCTGGTGTAATGTTAAGTTGTATAGATAAATGCATGTCCACTGAATATAATCCTGCTTTTGTGCTAAAACTGCTTAGATTTTGTTGGTGACATTAGATTAGTGGTTACATTAAATAACTAAATTCCCATTGTCATTAAAAAAAAAAAAATACTCGGTCTCTACAAAACATAGGAAAATTAGCTGGGGACCGTGGTGCACTCCTACAGTCCCAGCTACTCGGGAGGCTGAGGCAGGATGATCACTTGAGCCCAGTAGTTTGAAGTTGCAATGAGCTGTGATTACGCCACTGCACTATAGCCAGGCAAAGGGTTAGATCCTGTCTTCAAAAAAAAGTAGGTTTCCAGGCACAATCCCCCACCCACTAGACAAGAACCTCTATGAGTTGTGGGAGGGGCCCCATTTTCAGAAGTATCCTAAGTGACACTCATGCTTCTGAAGTTCAGGACTCCCTGTACTAGCCGTACAGTTGTATGGACTCTACCTGTTGAGATACTGCACATACCATTTCTAACAATTTTTCCTAACCCAACAGATGTGCTCTGTGTAAAACCTCAAGTCTGCCACACTGGTGACCTTAGTTGTGTATAGATACATAGTCTGCATTTATTTGTTTTTTATTATTATTATTATTTTAGAGACAGAGTCTCACTCTGTCACCCATGCTAGAGTGCAGTGGGGGGATCCTTGGTCACTGCAACCTCAAACTTCTGGGCTCAGGTGATCCTCCTGCCTCAGCCTCCTAAGTTGCCAGGACTTCAGGCATGCACCACCATGCCCTGAAATTTTTAAAAATTTTTTGTGAAGACAGAGTCTCACTATGTTGACCAGGCTGGTCTCAAACACCTGGCCTCAAGCGATTCTCCTCCCAGGACTTTCAAAGTGCTGGGATTACAGGCATGAATCATCGCTCCTGGACTGACATGTGCATTTATTATTAATCATTCTGCCTATATCCTCTTTGGTTAATTACCTTGAGGACGTAGTTTTCCAAAGTATCCAGTACTTTTTAGCCCAACAAAGAGTAATTTTAAGGGATGTATTTACTACAGTCAGCTGCCATGCAGAGGGGAAATGACCTTTGCTATGTGTGGTTGTGGGGGATAGAACCACGCCAGTGGGCAGGTGACGGAGGGAAGAGTGGAGGTGGAATTTCTGGACACTTCCACTGAGTTCATACAAGAAGCATGTGCCCACCTGCAGACCAGGGACTGCTGCCCTCGGGTTGCTGTAACAGGGAAAGAGCGAGAAAAAGCCCATCAGTGTAGTGGGGAAAGCTCAGGGACACCCTTCCAAAGGAGGAGCCCCTGGTCTGGGCCTTAACAAAAGCACAGAGGTGCCCCAGGGGGAGGTGGGCAGGCGTCCCAGGCCACCAGCATGAGGTAACCTGAGGCTTGGGGCCTTGCAAGGCTGGGAGTGGTCAGACCTACCTGTGTGTGAGCTGGAGTGAGTGTTAACTCCTTGGGGGTCACATGCAGCCACTAACTGTGAAGTGCACGTGGACAAGGACCTGTGGTTTCCCCTAATTTCCCCCACATTTCATGTCAGACTGGCCTCCAGCCTTTTACTGTATGGGCTGGTGTATCCAGCAGTTAAGAGTTGCATGAGATTAAGAAATGTTGTTATTAGTGTTTGTAGGGAGGAATTTTAGGGCCCCGGTGACGAGCAGCCCGCCAGGTTTCTCTCCCTGGAGGGACTGGTGTCTCGGGGACCAGCCCCCGGAGGCTGATGACAGTAGAGGCCCCCGGCCCCCGCAGGTGCCCCAGAGCTGCAGCCCCACCCTGCGGCCTGACCGGGCCTGTCTGGTTGTTGCAGTGCAGGCCACCTGGATGGCCTACGACATGGTGGTGATACGCACAAACCCCACGCTGGCCGAGTCCATGCGCCGGCTGGAGGACGCCTTCCTCAACTGCAAGGAGGAGATGGAGAAGAACTGGCAGGAGCTGCTCAATGAGACCAAGCGCAAGCAGTAGGCCCCGCTGCCCAGCCCGGGCCACCCACCCCAGCTGCCACGCCACCACGGCCTGTGCGGAGGAGCCACTGGGGGATGGAGCTGGTACCCGGATACACAGCCGTGTGCACCGTACTTGTTTCTCAATAAACTTATTTTCAAGCACAACCCAAGGACCCTTTCTGTCCTGTGCTGTGAACAACACATGACAAGTGCAAGATGCGGACACTTTCAGTGAATCCAACATGTATTTGGCGCCATTTGTGCTGAGCATGAAGTAAAAAGAAAAACAGGCCCACACAGGGACACTCAGGCCAGAGGTTGGGCAGCTGTGTCCAGTCACATTTATTCACCTCCCTAAAGTGGGTCTCAAAGTTGGGGAAGGGAGGAGACGCGTTATGCATTGTGCTGTGTCCCCAGCACCGTGCAAGGTGCCCACACTTGTGATCTTATCTCCCACAACTCTCCTGAGTGACAGGTGTCCATTGCATTCATTTTACAGACAAGGAAAAAGGGAAGTTAAATGTCTTATCCAAGTCCACACAGCTAAACAGGAACAGGACTAGGGTAAAACTCAGGTCTCAGTTACAGGGTGGTTCGTGGGCAGTGGGGTGGCATTCTGGAGGGGCTGGGAGAGGCCCCAGGAGGCTGCAGAGGGTTGTGAGCCCAAGTGGTCCTGGCCTGGTCTGGGCAGGGGCTACAGACAGCAGAGCAGCACCCACCCACCCCAAGTTCGCAGGAAAGGGTCCCGGGCCATCGAGGATCCACAGCGCCAATCAGACCCAGGAAGATAGTGAGGTTGGTACCTGGGCAGAGGCAAGCCAGGCCCCCAAAAGGCCTCAGGGCAGGCAGAAAGTCCCAGAGGTGAGGGTGTTAGCTGGGGACGTCTTTGCTCCCTCTCCCCCCTTGACAGAGCACAGAAGCGTGAATGGTTTCCAGCCATCTCCTCTCTCCGCTCAGCTGAGCTCCTTGGCAAGCCAAGTCCCGGCGCCTGGGGCCCTGGCACTGGAGAGTCGCGCAGATGGGGTGTGGGCGAGCTAGCCAAGACAGCAGGTAAGGAACTGGGGCCGGAAACAGCCTGGGTGAGGTGGGGAGTGCTAGAAAGGAGCCTGGGCTGGGGGGCAGAGGGGTCGCACGCTCTCCAGAAATAACTGACAGCCTTTAAGGCAGGAGACGTATCACAACAGAAAGGGAAAGCTGTCCCAGAAACAACAGCAGGAAGTTCTGGTCTCAGCCCCCTCCTGTGCGCCCCCCACCTGCCCTCAGATCTCCCGGCTCTCTGCCAGCCCCTCACAGCGAGGTCTGCAGCCGGCCCTTGCCGGGGAGAGTCAGGATGAAGGGACAGAGGACCCCGTTACTCCCCAGAGGAAAGGGCTGCAGCTCCTTGGCCTGGAACTGAGCAGTCCCCTCAGAGACGGTGAAGGTGGCGGTGACCTGGGGGTTGAGGCAGTAGATGGTGTTTCCCAGCACAGTGCAGCGCAGCGGGGCGGGTGCCGGCAGGGGCAGGGAGGCGGCCCGGCTCCAGGAGCCTGTCACCGTGTTGTAGCGCATCACCGCGGCGCCCACGCCGCGCAGCAGGTCGAAGCGGTACAGGAAGCCTCCCAGCGCCACTATGTCGCTGGAGCGCCGGTGGCTGGCGCTGTAGGGGCATTCGTCCCAAGCGTCCTTAGCGGGGCTGTACCTGAGCAGGCGGTAGAAGAGGTGACCCCCTGTGACATAGATGTCCCCGCGACAGGCCACGGCTTCGTGGGCCACAGGGAAGGTGCCCGCAGGGAGCGGGGCGCGCAAGGTCCAGGAGTCCGTGCGGGGGTCGTAGCGCTCCATGCTGTACAGGCACTCGCCCCCGATGGCATACAGCAGCCCGTCCAGGGCCACCAGCTTGAGCTGGGCCCGGGCCTGCTGCATGGGCCGAACCTGGCTCCAGATGTCGGTCAGAGGGTTGTAGCAGAAGACCTGGTTGGAGCAGACGGCCTTGGCGCCGGAGCCACGGATGCCCCCCGCCAGGAACAGGTAGTTGTGCATGGTGCAGAGACCGCAGCCCCGGAGCGGGGCCTCCTCGGGCACCTGGGTCAGGGGCCGCCAGGTGTTCTCCTGGGGGTTAAACACGTGCAGGTGCATGCGAGGAGGCAGGGGCACAGGCCCCGCCGCAGGAGCCTCCTCACCACGAGAGCCCCTCGTGAGCCCTGAGCGGCTCACCTGGTAGAGGCTGGGCAGCACGAGGACGCCCAGCACCGCCTGGCCCCGGCCCGTCCGCAGGCTCAGGATTCGCTCCCGGTCAGCCCCGCTCAGCTGCCGGTAGAGCTGCGGGTCTCCCAGCACGCGCAGCAGGTTGTTGCTCATCAAGGCGTAGGTCTCCTGGGCCAGACCAGGCTCCCCGTGCTGCTGGGCGAAGGCCAGCACATCCAGGCAGCTGCCCAGGTCCAGCCGCCGCGGCAGAGCCGCTGCCGTGCCGGGCTCCAGGGCCCTTGAGCTGAGCTGCCGGGGCCCCTGCACCACCCCCCAGCTCCCAGGCTTCTGCAGAAAAACCATGAGTTTTCGGGCCTCTTTCTGCTTCTCTGTGAGCATCTTGGAGCTGCCTGCAGCCCTGGCCTCCTCCCCGGGCACTACCTCCTGGGACTGCCCTGGGACTGCCCGGCCGACCTCCTGTTCAGAGCCCTGGGCTATTTCACACAGGCTGCGTTTGCGTGGCCGGGGCACGGGCTGTGAGTACCCCTTCACAGCAGGCGGTGGTGTGCATCCAGACTGCCTTTGCACAGGGGGCTGCGAAGGGGTCCTGGGCATTGCAGCGGGAGGCGGTGAGTCTAGACTTTTCTCCCAGGTTCTCTCTCCTCTTGGGCTTGGGGAAGGGCCCGGCGTGGGAGCCCCATTGGTCTCGGAGCTTCCTGCTGGTGGCTGACATCCAGCCTCCACCAGGCCCCCTTCGCCTGCCTCTGAGACCATCCCCACTGAAGAGCTGCGCTTGTCCTCAAGGCCGGGGATGGCCCCTTCAGAGGGAGAACCGGGCTGTCTGTCCCCAGAGTGTGCGAAAGTGCCAAGATCTGTAGGTCTCCCAGGCGCTGCCTTTGGGGAACTCCCTTGTGGCCTCTCTTGCCTGGGGAAAGGATGGCTTCTAAGAACCATTGCAATAAGGTTTCCCCAGCTCGTTGAGATCTGCCCCTCCTGGTAGCCCCTGGAGAGAACCACACTGGGCTCCTGAGACACAAGCATTGAGCCTAGGGCAGGAGCCGGGGTTGGAGCAGGGGCTGGGGTTGGGGCTGGGGTTGGGGCTGGGGTTGGGGCTGGGGTTGGGGCTGGGGCTGGGGCTTGGGTTGGGGTTGGGGTTGGGGTTGAGGTTGGGGTTGGGGTTGGGGTTGGGGTTGGGGTTGGGGTTTGGGTTGGGGCTTGGGTTGTGGTTGGGTTGGGGCTGGGCTGGGTTTGGGGTTGGGGCTGGGGTTAGTGCTGGGGTTGGGGTTGTGGTTGGGGCAGGGGCTGGTGTTGGTGTTGGGGCTGGGGCTGGGGTTGGGGCTGGGGCTGGGGCTGTGATTGACATTAGGGCTGGCCCCACTCTGAGATTTTCACTCTGAGAAGGACTCTTGCTAACTCCCAGAGGCAAAGAGTCTGAAGAATAGGGGATCGGAAGAGTCTCAGGTGCAGGTAGGAGACCCGAGGCCTGCGCTGCCAGCGTGGAAGAGGAGGGTGGATCCGGCTCAGGGCCCCACGGCAGGGGTGTAACTGTGGGGCTCCGCGCAGAGCTGCTGCAGGCTCCTGCCTGCTTCCCTCCCTCCGGAGGCCACGTGGGGCCCAGGTCAGGGACCCCCCCTTCGGCCTCTCTCCAGGACCCCCTCCCTTCTCCGGCGCTGTGGTCCCCCCGTGTCTCCGTGTCACCTGGCCCAGGGCTGAGGAAGGGGTGGTCGCCTGGGGAGCGGTCGGCCCCAGCTTCTCGGGAGCAGACCCCTGTGGCCCCCGGCCCTTGGGACGGCGCCCCCGGCCACTGCCCCGTGGAGCCTGGGACCCGGCTGAAGGTCCGGGTGACCAAGACCTCCCTCCTGGCCCAGGGCCAGCCTGCGTCGGGGGCCACGACGCCCTGCGCCCCGGGGGGCAGCGGGGAGCCCAGGCAGAGGCCGGCAGCGGCCGCATCCACAGCGTCCCACGCGCTCACCACGGCAGCGCGCGGCTTTGGGGGGCGGCGGGCTCTGTCCAGCTGTCCCCGCCGGCCGCCGCGGCCCCTCCCCAGCGAGCCCGAGGGCCCCGCGCCGGGCTGCCAGGGGCCGGTGTCCTGTTGCTCTGCGTGGACGGGGGCCTGGCGAGCTGGCCCCTTGACACTGCCGCCACCCGCCTCGGCCTGCGCCTCCGCGTCGCCACCAGGACTCCGAGGAGTGAAGTGGATCAGGAGGGGGGCGGATGTCCCCGCTGCTTTGCTGCTACCCAGGAAGGCAGTGCCTGGCCTGGGAGGCTCCTTCCCTTTACCTGCCGAGGTGCCACTGCCATGCTGCGGGCCCCGGGCCCCCCTGCTGGCCGCCTCGCGGGCCGTCTGGAGCGGCAGCCGGGCTGTGGCGGCTGGGCCTCTGCCTCCCGCTGCAGTGGCACTGCCCTGGCCGCGCCCTGGGAGCTCTGGCTTCTCCGGCCCTGAGTTCTGTCCCTTGCTGCCACCACTGACCTTGGACTTTGGGTGCAGTGCAGGCCCCACTCCTCCTGCCTGCGTAGGCTGGTCCCCCGGGGCTGTGGACACCGCTGGTCCTGCTGCCTCCCGGTCCTGCTCAGAGCCAAACCAGCGCAAAGCCAGTGCCGTGGCTGCTACCACCGCCAGCGCCAGCAAGGCCAGTACGGCACCGTCCCAGTCATCGTCACTGTCCCCATCCCATCCCCAGAGGGGACCATGCGGCTCCAAGGTGCCCTGCGTCATGGTGCGGGGCTGCAGACCCAGTGTGAGGAGTGGCAGGCTGGCACCGTGCACGGCACAGAGGTGGCAGCTGCACCCACCCTGAGTGCCGCCCAGTTAAGGTGGACCTGTCCTCCAGGTCTCCGCCGGGTGGGCCGTCTGCGTGCAGGCAGGCCTGGGGTGTGTCAGGAGGGCCCCGCTGAGACTCGGGGAGACAGTCCAGAGCAGCACCAGGAGCCCAGGGGTCTCTGCGGGCGCCCCCGTCAGCTCCGACCCCTTCCGCTTCCCAGCAGGCCCCGGGTCAAGAGGCAGCGTCAATAAACACGGTGGCAGCCTCCCAGCCGACCTGCCTCTGCCCGGCAGACCCTCACACCCCTCGCTTTGTCCCACACCCTGGGGTCCCTCCTCTGAGCCTGAGTCCAGCCTCGGGGGCCTCTGGCAGGGAAGGGTTACCCACGGGGAGATGCTATCTGCAGCCCCAGCAACTTGATGCGGCCCTGATGAAGTTACCAGAAACCAGAGAGGCCACTACCGCTGCGGGCCAGTGGGGGAGGGGCATGCTCGTGGTGGTCTCCCAGCCCGAGGAGGGAGAGAGACCCTGGGCCTGGGGCCTGGCCGTGAGCACCGTCACCCAGGCATGAAGTGGGGGTTTGCACCATCAGGACGCAGGGGGAGGGCGGAGGCCGAGGCTCCCACACTCCCCTCCCCCAGCAGCTTCTGGACTTTCCTCACCCAGAGCTCACCAGGCAGGGGATGGGGTTTTCAAGTCAAGAGAAAAAAAATGAATGGAACGAAGATAATCCGAAAGTTATAATATTTCCCTCCTTAAGGCCAGGCTTATTTCAACCCACCCAAGACTTTCTGGGACCTCGCCCCATTCACCCTTCCGAACTGTCTTGACGGCCCAGACTCGACTCTCACCGGGCCCCTGGAGAGCCCCGAGCCCAGCCTGCCCTGCTCCAGTTACAGCCTCTGCCAGCACCCGGGATCCTGCCGAAACCACCTGCCCCGGCCCCAGCCTCAGTCCCTCCCTTATCTGAGCTGACGACTGGCCCCCAGACAGGCTCCCAGGCCTATCCACAGGTGTGTTGGTTTCCTAGGGAGGGGCCTGTCTCCTCCATCTGCTTCTCGTGGAAGCCCATCCCGGGAGCGAGTCTTGGGAGAGGGGCCAGGTGGGGCCTAGACTTGAAAAGGAGCCTGGAGCTCCTGGGACAAAGGCAGGCCCCCCCAGGAAGGGTTGTGTGTGTGTGTGTGTGTGTGTGTGTTTACCTTCCTCTGGGACATAGCAGGCCTGGGGACTCAGGCAGCAAGGACATGGCCAAGGAGTGTCCCTGGCACCCAGCCTGAACTTGAAGCCTCAAGTATCTTACCTGGTCTAGTCCCAGCTCCCCCCACGACTATTAGATGACAGTGAAAGGGCAGGGGTGGGCCCCACATCTTAAGGAGGACCTCAAGGTGAGGGAGGGCTTTCGAGACACTGCCCTTATTTTCTGTTCCAGGCTCAGGCTCCCCCTCTTGGTTAAGTCTGGGGTCCAAAAACCTTCAGAGAATGGAGATGACGTCCCCCACCTACACCTCCTTCTAAGCCACGCAGGGCCCTGTCAGGCAACTCCACCCAGCTTGTGAGCCCCAGGCAGCCGCCCGAGGAGGAGAGGGCAGTGGGGAGGCACCGAGCACAGGACGCCGTCCCCACCAGGTTCCCAGGGGGTGAGGACCACGGTGGGCACTGCGGACACACGCAGGCAAGGCAGTGCTCAGCCCGCCCCCTGCAGAAGAGAAGCAGCTCCCTGGTCAAATCACCCCTGCTCCAGGCATGGCCTCAGCCAGCACCTGGGGTCCTGCAGAGACCAGCTGCCCTGGGCCCAGGTGCTCTACCCACCCAACTCTGTGTCCTCGTCTCAGTCTCTCCCTTATCTGAGCTGACACTCGCCCCCCCAGACAGGTGTGTTGGTTTCCTAGGGAGGGGCCTGTCTCCTCCACCTGCTTCTCGTGGAAGCCCATCTCGGGAGCGAGTCTTGGGGGAGGTGCCAGGTGGGACCCAGACTTGGCAAGGAGCCTGGAGCCGGGACTAAAGGCCACACTTTGCCCTGTGTGGAAAGAGCCCCTCTCGGGAAGGTGGCTGAGGGCATGTCACCTCCCCGAAGTGTGGTAGTTTTGCCTCCTCCCTTCCCAGAGAGAGGTCAAAAGGTAGCAGAACTTCGAAAGTGCTCGAATCACCTACACAGATTGGGAGACATAAAGGATTGTTGTACTTGTGCCGTGATAATGTAAACGTCACAATTTACCATCAAGTAAAAAAGTAAAAATGAAGAAAATGGGCCAAGCGCAGTGGCTCACACCTGTAATCCTAGCACTCTGGGAGGCCAGGTTCGCTCAAGGCCAGGGATCGCTCAAGGTCAGGAGTTCGAAACCAGCCTGAGTAAGAGCTATACTCTACTAAAAATAGAAAGAAATTAATTGGCCAACTAAAAATATATATACAAAAAACCAGCCGGGCACGGTGGTGCATGCCTGTAGTTCCAGCAACTCGGGAGGCTGAGGCAGGAGGATCACTTGAGCCCAGGAGTTTGAGGTTGCTGTGAGCCAGGCTGATGCCACAGCACTCTAGCCTGGGCAACAGAGTAAAACTCTATCTAAAAAACCAAAAGAAAAGAAAATGGGTGCAGGGAGAGCAGCTGAGGTGACTCGGCTGCTGGAGGAAGGAGACCTGCCAGTCTCTTCAAGGAGGAGAAAGGGTCTGTGCCCACCTGCCTGCAGCTTCTGCCCAGAGACAACACAAGCACAACACGGATGGGCACAGCCTCCCCACCTGCCGGCACAACCTGGCCACCCAGCCCGGGCCCAGCTGGCCTTGCCACCACCTGGCCCTTTCTGAAACATTTAGCAGAGGAAGACTATAGCAAAACAAGGACGTAATTCCAAATGGAGAACAAAATACAAACGGACAGTTATGATACACATAAAATATGTATAAAGTAGCAAGCCCCATCAAATGTAAAGTTTCTCCATTATTAGAATCTTTTTTTTTTTTGAGACAGTCTTGCTTTGTTGCCCAGGCTAGAGTGAGTGCCGTGGCGTCAGCCTAACTCACAGCAACCTCAAATTCCTGGGCTCAAACAATCCTTCTGCCTCAGCCTCCCAAGTAGCTGGGACTACAGGCATGCGCCACCATGCCTGGCTAATTTTTTCTATAAATTAGTCGGCCAACTGATTTCTTTCGATTTATAGTAGAGACGGGGTCTCGCTCTTGCTCAGGCTGGTTTTGAACTCCTGACCTCGAGCAATCCGCCCACCTCGGCCTCCCAGAGTGCTAGGATTACAGGCGTGAGCCACCGTGCCAGGCCTATTAGAGTCTTTTAAAAGCAAGAAATATTGCATAAGCAGAAAGAATTATATGAAACAATGTCATATTATATAATCTTATTTATGTTTAAAGGTATATATATATATATATGCCTAAATAAATCTAGAATAATTTTAAGGCTTAGAAGATATTAACTCTGGACTTATTCATTACATACATCAGAGAGTACCACTTATGGAATTCATATGATATGGTAAAAGCTTTAGGTGAAAAAAAAGTTATTTCTAGGCTGGGCACGGTGGCCAAATACAACCAAATATGATAGAAATATAATAGAAAAACATGGGCCGGGCACGGTGGCTCACGCCTGTAATCCTAGCACTCTGGGAGGCCGAGTAGGGAGGATCACTGAAGGTCAGGAGTTTGAAACCAGCCTGAGCAAGAGAGAGACCTCCATCTCTACTAAAAATAGGAAGAAATTAATTGTCCAACTAAAAATATATAGAAAAAATTAGCCGGGCATGGTGGCACATGCCTGTAGTCCCAGCTACTTGGGAGGCTAAGGCAGGAGGATCACTTGAGCCCAGGAGTTTGAGGTTGCTGTGAGCTAGGCTGACGCCACGGCACTCACTCTAGCCTGGGCAACAGAGTGAGACTCTGTCTCAAAAAAAAAAAAGGAAAATAAAAGTGTTGGCAAAATGTGAAAAATAGACTTCCATGCATT